AAGAATTTTGTTTGGTTCCTTGGTTTGGAGGTTTCCGATGATGATTTCATGGGACAGCCTAATCAATTGGCCTAATAACAGGTTTTGTGCTTTTCCTCTACCTTCTAGCTCAGTGTGTAGTGCCTGGAGTCTCAAAAGCTTTCAAGTGGCCATCCAAGGCACCATTGCTCTCTATTTACCTGGAACAATAGAGGAGGAAAAGCTCACTGCTGTGGAGTTGTGTCTGACTCAGAGTGACCCCTGCTTGGGTTTCCAAGGCAGTATCTCTATAGAAGTAGATTGCCCAATCTTCCTTCCAAGGAGTGGCTGGTGGGTTTGAACTGCCAGCCTTCTAGTTAGCAGTGAAATGCCTTGGGCACTATACCACCAGAGCTCCCTAGAGGACGCAGGAGAGTCTAGAATAAGGGGAAGAAATGGAATGGATGAATAATTGCCTCCATGAATAAACTGTTTCCTTTACCATGAGACCAGAAGAATTAGATGCTGCCCAACTACCATTTGTCAACATTTTGATCAAAGATTCTATGAAATATTCCTGATAAATGATGGTAAATGCAGAACAGAATTTTAAATTCTTATGAAATCCAACCTTTCTGGAGCCATGTGGGTTACATGAACCCTTGAAACTATTGTCTTAAGATAATCTTTAAACCTTAAACCAAAAATATCCCTGAAATCTTCTTAAAGCAAACAGTTGTTTAGCTTAACTTGTAAAGAATGTCTGCCTCAAGTATTGTACATTTCTTCTTCTTTTTTTTTTTAATTGTAGTTGGGGTAAAAATTTACAGATCAAATTAATTTTCCATTGAACAATATATGCACATTTTGTTTTGTGACATTGGTTACAATACCCTCAATGTAACAGCACTCTTCACACTTCCTCCCCGGGTTCTCCATGTCCTTTCATCCTTCTTGCCATTCCTGCCATCTGAGTTTTGTTTTTGGGCAAATGCTGCCCTTTTGGTCTTGTATGGTGATTGTACTGAAGAATACATCTCTCCCTGGTGTTATTATTCACTTTATAGGCCTGTCTATTGTTTGGCTCAAAATTGATCGTCAGGGTGTGTTCAGTTCTAGACTTGAAGAACAATCTAGACAATCTCGGGCATTCCAACAGTCTCTATCAGATCAATTAGTCTGTTTTTTTTAATATGATTTTGAATTTTGTTCTCTCTCTCTCTTTGTTTACTCCCTCTCACAGACTTTCTATTGTGATCTTGTTCAGAGTGGTAAGCAGTGGTATCATTGGGCAGCATCTAGTTCTTCTGGGCTAAGGCTTGTGGAGGTGGAGTTTCATGTGGTCCATTAGTCCTTTTTCTAATTGTTTCCTTGAGTCTTTTTTTTTTTTTCACTCTTCTTTGCTCCAGATGAGGAGAGACCAATTGTTGCATCTAGGATGACTGCTCACAAGCTTTTAAGACCCTAGGTGCTATTCACCAAAGTGGGATGTAGAACATTGTCTTTGTGGACTATGTCATGCCAATTGACCTAGACGTTCCCTGGAGTATTGTACAATTTTGAGATCTAATCATATGGGATCAAATTGAAAATAGCAACTCTAAAGATTAGATGAAAACTTAGGAGGTACTGAGTTTATGTTCATGGGGAAAGAACACTTCAGAAAAGGAGGTTGAGAATGGTTGCACACCTTGAAGAGTATCATTAATGTCATTACATTGTACATGTAGGAACTGTTAGATTGATGTGTTTTGCTATGTACATGTTCAAGAAAAAATAAAATAACTCATTAAAAAATATGGAAGCAACAGTCAAGATATCAAAAGATATACTGTATTGAGCAAATCTGTTGCAAAAGAGCTCTTTCAAGCACTGAAGAGTAAAAATATCTCCTTGATGACTAAGATCCACCTAACCCAAGCCATAGTATTTTCGATTGCCTCATATGCATGTGAGAGCTGGACAATGAAAAAGGAAGACTGAAGAAGAGTTGATGCTTTTGAGTTGTGTTGGCAAAGAATGCTGAAAGTACCGTGGACTGCTAAAAGAACTAACAAATCTGTCCTAGAGGAAGTGCAGCCATAATTCTGCTTAGAAGCAAAAATGGCCAGACTTTGTCCCATCTACTTTGGTCATATTGTTCGAAGGGACCATTCTCTGGAGAAGGATGTCACACTTGGTAAAGTGGAGGGTCAACAAAAGAGGGGAAGTCCTTCAACAAGATGAACTGACACAGTGGCTGCAGTGATGCGCTCAGGTATAGCAGGGATCATGAGGCTGGCACAGGACTGGGCAGTGTTTCGTTCTGTTGTACATAAGGTCACTATGAGTCGTAACAACAACAACAATTGAAAAATATATAATAAGTTATGTAAGTCCATCACAAGAGACTGGTCATGTAAATTTATGATACATTTATGCAATAGACTATCATGAAACCATTAAGTATCATGATGTAAAAGAATATTTATTAACATTAGAAAATGTTGTTGTTAGTTGCCCTGAAGTTGGTTCCCACACATGGTGACCTTATTATGTATAACAGAATGAAATGTTGCCTGGTCCTGTGCCATCTTCATGTGCTGCGTCTGGCAAAACCGCACAGGTCATGAAATGAAGCAACAAGAAAGGATTAATGATTTTCTTTTTTATTGAAGGAACAGGGTCCAGGCGGACGCCCTGCATATTCTGCAAGAGCTACCCCTGATGCATCCGCTCTGCTTTATTTATACATAAGCATACGATTACATCATTATTCTTGATATTTCTTTAAAACAATCAAGTATTCAATCAAATATTGTTTTACAGTAAAATCAAATATTTCCTTATAACAATCAGTTATTAATTAAAAGTTAAAGTTTTACTCTTTCCCGTACCGGAAGGCATTTTCCAATATCCAAATGTATTGGATAATTAATTAGGTTAACATCTCTTGCAGGATTAGCAAATAATCATTAAGATACCTCATTCTAAAACATAATATGATTGTTAAGGTATATGATTCTAAAGAATGGTTTCTAAGGTATACTATTCTTCGGGCAAAACGTTATTCCAGGGAAATAGGTTAGCAAACATTCTGTTGGGGCAGCGTTCTACCCCAGGAACACAAAGCTCTGAAGTCAAGCATTCATTCACTCAACCGCAGGAGAGGCCTTGCCATCTCTCAAAGCAGTCACTCAATCATGTGTCTCTTAACTGTAATTAGAACATGTGCCTTTCAGTCATGTTCTTTTGGGGGTCTTTATCTTGGTCTCCAACATTCATGATTGGTCTATGTTTGTTTGCTGTGGCTATTGTGTCAGTCTGTTTCATCAACGATTTTCCTCAGTTTTGCTGACCCTCTATTTTACCAAACAGGACGTCATTTTCTAGTGAGTGGCCTTTCCTCGTGGTATGTCCAAAGTAAGTCAAAGTCTCACCATCCTCATTTCTAAAGTGTATTCTCATTGTATTTCTTCGAAGACTGTTTTGTTCATTCTTTTGGCAATCCACAGTATATTTATTTTATATTTATATTTTTCACCAATACCACAATTTGAATGCATCAATTCTTTTTCTGTCTTCCTTTCTCCTTGTCAAAATTTCACTTGTATGAGGTGATTGAAAAGTTCATGGCTTGGGTCAGGTGCACCTCAGTCATCAAAGTGTCATCTTTGCTTTTTAAAACCTTCAAGAGGCCTGATTTTAAACAAAATGCTTTACTTGAAATCACTTCTATAACATATAAACCCAAAGAATGACAAAATGGTTTAAAAAATACTCAAGGGCACTTGGGTTAAAAGCAAAAGTGTTGAAAATACTAATTTAGTTCTTAAGAACTATATGAATAAAAATGTCACATCAGGAATGGAGGAAGACTCATTAATAACCTGTGATATGCAGATAACACAGTCTTGCTTGCTGAAAGCGAAGAGGAATGGAAGCACTTGCTGATGGAGATCAAAGACTACAGCCTTCAATATGGATTACATATCAACATAAAGAAAACAAAAAATTTTTACAATTGGATCAGTAAGCGATATGGTAAACAGAGAAAAGATTGAAGTTGTCAAGGATTTTATTTTATTTGAATTTACAGTCAGCGTCCATGGAAGCATCAGTCAAGAAATCGGATGATGTAGTGCATTTCGCAAATCTGCTACAAAAGACCTTAACGTGTTAAAAAAACAAAAAACAAAAATAAACAAAGATGTCATTTTGAGGACTAAGGTGTGCTTGACCCAAGCTATGATATTTTCAATTGCCTCATGGACATGTGATAGCTGGACACTGAATAAGGAATTCTGAAGAAGAACTGATACCTTTGAATTATGGTGTTGGTGTCGAATATTGAATATACCATGGAGAATTAACAACTCTGTCTAAGAGGAAGTACAGCCAGAATGCTCCTTAGAAGCAAGCATGGCAGCACTTCTTCTTGTCAGGAGGGACCAGTCTCTGAAGAAGGGCATCATTCTAGGTGAAGCAGAGGGGCAGAGAAAAAGAGGAAGACCCTCAATGAGATGGATTGACACAGTGGCTGCAACAAAAAGCATGAGTGGGCAGTGCTTTTTTTCTTTTTTAAATACATATATATTTATTTTTAATTGTCTTTTGAGTAAAGGTTTACACAGTAAATTGTTGTTGTGTACAGTGGGGCGACCCTTCCTTGGGCTTCCGAGGCAGTATCACTACTGAAGTAGATTGCCCAACCTTCTTTCTGAGGAGTGGCTGGTGGGTTTGAACCTCCAGCCTCCTGGTTAGCAGTCAAGTGCCTTAGGCACTATGCTACCAGAACTCCTGCACAGGAAATTAGGCCCCTGGTAATGGCTTTCCGTGCAACCTGCCCTTTTTCGTTCTATCTTTCCCGCTTCAATAGCTCTTGGCCAGTTGGAGTGGGAAATTTTTCTTTTCTCGCGGCCCCCTCGTGACGTTATTAGAAATCTGATCTCTGATTGGTTTTCATCGAGCAAGATCCTGCCAATAACAGGTAGACCTTTTGGGTGCAGCCGGCCCGCTAGTATTGTCACTGGTGATTGGCTGGAGTGGACCGAGGCTAGAAAATGGCTGCGAGCGCTGCTGTAGTCCCAGTGGCTGTGACGGCTACAATGGTTCCTGTACTACCAGCGAGCGGCGATTTCTCAGATTTGCGGGAAATCAAAAAGCAGTTGCTACTTATTGCGGGCCTTACTCGGGAGCGGGGCCTACTGCACAGTAGCAAATGGTGAGGTGTGGAGGTCAGAAGGGGCCGGGCTTTGGCCGTTGGCCTTGGGGGCTTGTCGAGCTGACCCAGTTTCTGTGGATGTTCCAGGTCTGCGGAGTTGGCCTTTTCTCTCCCCCCATTGCCTTTGGCAGAGCTGCAGCCGCCGCCACCTATTACAGAGGTAAGGGCATAGTCATAGCGAGCGCGCCCCATTAGTGGAAGGGTTTGCCTCAAAAAGTACGGATTGTCTGGTCTTTACTGCATAGCAGGAACGTTTGTAGAGGAAATAAAAAACATTTGAAAAGCTGAGTGTTTTTAAGGGATTTTATATGCGTGTTTTTTTTTTTTTTGACCCTTGATTGGTGGTTCTTTTACTTAAGCTGGAGAAACTTAGGAAATAATTCTTGCTAAAAATATCAACTTTTAGGTTTTGTATCCCAATCTAGAGAATAGTCATAACGATAAGAATAATCAAGGGCTTTTACAGTACTTTCAAACTGTTTCTGAAGTTTTGTGAATGATTTTCATCATAATCAATTTTGTTTTTTCTGAAGATGCAACTTACTGTCTTTTTTCCCCTACCATTCAAAAACAATGACGTTTTCTTACTCCAAATAGAAATTATGTATGTTAAGAGGGTAAAAGAATAAGCAAATGGTGAGTAGATGGGAAAAGGACCGCCAGATTCCTAATCTAAATTGCCACATTTAGGACGTGTTGAGTTAGTGAAGAAAGCATTGAATACATTTTGGGCTGGTGATGTTTGGTGCAAGACAAATGTGGAGAATGAAGTTACTAAAATTTTAATAAATTTCTCTCTAGAACTTTTATGAAGAGGTTGTAACTTTTTAGCTTTTGTACTATCTCATTTTTTTTACACAGAATTGTAACTGTAACCTGTACTTTCAGGAATACTAACTTATGTTAAAGCTTTCTCAATGTAGATAAAGTATAATTAATAGCTCAATATGTTGCATCTATTTGGGAATTTAAAAGAATATTAAAGAATGTAACAGAGAAGGAAGTGGATGCCAGATATTAATACTGGATATTTTACATGACTTTTTCATTTTTTCCTCATGTCAAACATAAGATCAGTATTAGTGGCTCCATTTTACAGATAAAGAAATGGATGCTCAGAGAAAATAAGTAACCTCTGTACTTATGTCATGAAACTAAGAAGTCAAGTAGTCAGACTTTGGATCCAGCTCCATAGCACCACATTTGCAGAAACAAATTACTGCAATTATAGTTTTTCCCAACTTATTTTGAAAACTTTCAAACATACAAGAAAATTGAAAGAATAGTAAAAACCCATGTTCCATATACCTAAATTCACAAGTGTTAACATACTTGCTTTTTTTCAGCATCTCTACAAATATATTTGAATATATTGCTGAACTATTTGAAAGAAAGTTGCATACAACATCATCCCTAGAATCTTGAGCAGCTATCTCCTGATGAATAAGAACATTGTACTTAGTAAAATTATCATTGTTACATTAAAGACATTTTTAATATTGTTATAATAATAATATCTAATATACAGACTAAATTAGATTTCCTCTGATCATCCCAGTAATGTCTTTTGTGACTGTTCATTTGGCTGCATGATCTATGGAAGAATCATGAATGGCATTTAGTTGTCACCAGATCTCTTTGTGGTTGTTTTGTTGTTAGGTGCTGTCGAGTTGGCTCTGACTCATAGTGACCCTGTATACACAGAATGAAACACTGCCTGGTCATGTGCTAGCCTAACAATCCTTGCTATACCTGAGCCCATTGTGGTAGCTTTGTTTCAATTCACCTCCTTGAGGGCCTTCCCCTTTTTTGCTGACCCTCCACTTTACCAAGTATGATATCCTTCTCCAGGGAGTGGTCCCTTCTGACATCATGACCAAAGTAGTTGAGATGAACTATGGCCATTCTCGCTTCCAAGCAGCATTCTGGCTGTACTTATTCCAGGACAGATTTGTTCATTCTTCTGGCAGTCAGTGGTACTCTCAGTATTCTTTGCTAACACCACAACTCAAAAGCATCAACTCTTCTTTGGTCTTCCTTGCTCATTGTCCAGCTTTCACGTACCATGAGGTGATTGAAAACACTATGGCTACACTCACATTAGTTTTCAAAGAGACATCTTTGCTCTTCAGCACGTTAAAGAGGTCTTGTGCAGCAGGTTTGCACAGTGCAATATGTCTTTTGATGTCTTGACCGCTGCTTCCATTGGTGTTGGTTGTAGAATCAAGTAATAGGAAATCTTTGACAACTTCATTCTTTACTCCATTTTCTTTATGTTGAGGTATAATCCATACTGCAGAATATAGTCTTTCATTTCATTAGTAAGTGCTTCGAGTCATCTTCACTTTCACCAAGCAAGGTCGTACACTACAGTCAGCATATTGCAGATTGTTAGTGAGTCTTCCTCCAATCCTGATGTCACGTTCTTCTTCATGTATTTCAGCTTCTGAGATTATTTGCTCAGTATACATATTGAGTAAGTATGATGAAAGGATACAACCCTTATGTATTCCTTTCCTGATTGTAATCTATGCAGTATCCCCTGTTCTGTTCAAATGACAACCTCCTGCTCTGTGTATAGGTTCCTTGTGAGCACTATTAAGTGTTCAGGAATTCCCATTCTTCTCAGTGTTATCCATAATTTGTTATGATCCACATAGTTGAATGACTTTACATAGTGAATAAAACACAAGTAAACATCTTTCTGGTATTCTTTGCTTTGAGCCAGGATCCATCTGACATCAGCAACGATATCCCTTGTTCCATATCCTCTTCTGAATCCAGCTTGCATTTCTGGAAGTTCCCTGTCAATATATTGCTGCAACCATTTTTGAATTATCTTCAGCAAAATTTTACTCACATGTGATATCAGTGATACTGTTTGATAATATCCACATTCTGTGGGATCACTTTTCTTTGGAATGGGTACAGATATGGATCTCTTGGAGTCAATTGGCCAGGTAGCTGTCTTCCTCATTTCTTGGCATAGACAAGTAAGTGCTTCCAGTACAGCATCCATTTGTTGAAACATCTCAATGGGTATCCATCCCATCAATTCCTGGAGCCTTGTTTTTTGCCAATTCCTTCAGTGCAGCTTTGACTTCTTCCTTCAATACCATCCATTCTTGATCATATGCCACTTCCTGAAATAGATGAAGATCTACCAGTTCTTTTTGGTACAATGACTCTGTATTTCTTCCATCTTCTTTTAATATTTCCTGCATCGTTCAATATTTTGTCCATAGAATCTTTCAATATTGCAACTCAAGGCTTAATTTTTTTCCTCAGTTCTTTCAGCTTGAGAAATGCTGAGAGTGTTTTTCCCTTTGGGTTTGCTAATGCCAGGTCTTTGCACATTTCATTATAGTAATTGTCTTTGTCTTGTGCTGTTTTTTGAAATCTTTTATTCAGCTCTTTTATCTTGTCATTTCTTCCATTTGCTTTAGCTACTCTCCATTCAAGAGCAAGTTTCAGAGTCTCTTCTGACATTCATTTTGGTCTTTTCTTCCTTTCCTGTCTTTTTAATGATTTTTTGCTTTCTCATGGATGATGTTCTTGATGTCATCCCACAGTTAATCTGGTTTTCAGTTATTGGTGTTCAGTGCAACAAATCTGTTCCTTAGATGGTCTCTGAATTCAGATGGGATATAATCAAGGTCATATTTTGGCTCTTGTGGACTTGTTTTAATTGTCTTCAACTTCAAGTTGAACTTGCATATGAGCAGTTGATGGTCTGTTCTGCAGTAAACTCCTGACCTTGTTTTGGGTGAAGGTACTGAGCTGCTCCATCGCCTCTTTCCACAGATGTAGTTGATCTGATTTCTGTGTATTCTGTCTGGCAAAGTCCATGTGTATCGCCGCCGTTTGTGTTGTTGAAAAAAGGTATCTGCAATGAATAAGTCATTGATCTTGCGACTTGTGATCTCCAGCATCATTTCTATCACCAAGGCCATATTTTCTAACTAACTACTAGTGAGTCTTCTAGGAGCTCTGGTAGCGTAGTGCCTAAAGCACTTGACTGCTAACCAGAAGGCTGGTGGTTCAAACCCACCAGCCACTCCTCGGAAGGAAGGTTGGGCAATCTACTTCCGTAGTAGATACTGCCTCGGAAACCCAAGGGGGCGGGTCACTATGAGTCGGGTACAGCTTGATGACAAATAACAACAACGAGTCGTCTTTGTTTCCAACTTCTGCATTCCAATCACCAGTGATAATCTGCACATCTTGATTGCATGTTTTGTCAATTTCAGACTGCAGTAGTTAAAAAGCTTCAATTTCCCCATCTGTGGCTTTGGTGGTTGGTGCATATGTTTGAATAACAGTAGTATTAACTGGTCTTCCTTGTAGACTTCTTCCAAGTTTGTCTTAGTCTAGTCTTATGTCCAGCATGGGTGACCCTGTTGATATTTGAAATACCACTGGCATAGCCTCCAGCCTCACAGCAACATGCAAGCCACCACAGTATAACATACTGACAGTTGAGTGGTAGATATTTCTTTAGTATTTCTTAATTTATAGTTTTCCTACTTTTTCTTTTAAGACATTAACATTACTATTTAAATGTAAAACAACAGCAATGCAATGCACTGCTGCACTGCTAAGTGGATCCGACTCATAACGACCCCTCCTCGGGTTTCCGAGGTGGTATCTCTACGAAAGTAGGTTGCTCAACCTTCCTTCTGAGCTGTGGCTGGTGGGTTTGAACCTCCAGCCTTCTGGTTACCAGTCAAGTGCCTTAGGCACTACGCTACCAGAGCTCCCTATTTAAATATAAAGTAGTTATAAATTATGTTACTACACTGGTACACAAAAAGATATCGACCCTTTTCTATAGACCCTTTGATCTGGTCTCCCTCCTTCCCTCTGACATCATCTACTGTTTAGCCTGTTTCTCACTCAACCCTAGTCACACTGGTCTCCTCCTACACCTGCAACATGATAAGCAGAAGTATGCTTTAGGGCCTTTGCACTTGCTTTTCCACTGCCTGTTACAGTAAATCAACTAAATAAACTGTTAGATCCTTTCCTAACCTCTTGAGTTTAAACACAGAATGAAGAATCTGGGCTTAGTGAGTCCGTATCAGTAAACTCAGACTGGTGCAGCTTTGTGTTCCTTGTACCATTATCCCACACCCTTAATAGCCGATCCATATTTGCCAG